TAAATATATATATAAAAAAAAGAGAGAAGTCAAATCGATATATCCTGAAATGGTAGGAAAAGGTTTTGGTTTGACAGCCCTGGATAAAACAAGTCTGCATCCACAGGAGTAGTAAAGCATGAACCTTCAAAGTCTACCCTACCCTGGCTTGCTGTGATCTGTTTAGAAAAGATCCCCCCTCGCTTTGAGGGGATTCAGCCCTCATCATAGTGCCTATCTTGCTGTGTTTAGTCCAGGCAGAGCCATACCGAGCTCCTCATGTGGTTGTGGTAATATACGTGGCAGAATTATAGCCCATAACGTAGGAGAGTGGAGAGCAGAGCAAGGAAAAAAACCCACCTTTTTAACATGGGAATTGAAACGCCTTTAGTATTTTCCTTTAGGAAATTCTCATCTCTTATTGCTGTTACCTGAGGCAGTGGGGACAGGGGTAAGCCAGGATGTGAAAAGGCATGGAAAATAGTGGGAAAGCCCCAAAAAAGAGGGCAAAAATGAGGAAAGCTGGGGGTGCCTAACCCAAAAAAGTGTTCATTCCTTCTGAGATAAAGGTAAAAAGGGAGCCTGCATTGGAGACGGGCATTCAAAAAACCCCAGAGGCACACAGAGGGGATGCTGGCCTTGCTGTGCCCCAGCACGAGAGCAGAACGAGGGGCTGCTCGCTGCAACGCAAAGGCAGAAAATTAAGAACCCATAAAAATATAGTAAATTGTTTACGCAGCGCACAGCCAGCTCACAAGATCTGCCATTGCTAAAGGTCACCCAAGCAGCCAGCCTGGCTGAATTCTTAAAAATAAATGAATAATTTTAGGAGTATTAATATTTAATACCAAGACAATAAAGAGTCAGCAAGTCCTGTGTTTGAAGGAAGAACGGGGGGACTCCACCTCCACAGCGGCTGGAAGGGTCTGAGCGCTCTCCCCGCTCACCCAGATCAACGCAGCTCCTGGAATTTATGTCTGAGCACAAGCTTTTGTGGAAAACACGTATCTCGAAGAGAATTACATGCATCTATACAAACTACCCCCCACTCCCGAGGAGCTATGGCAAGCTCAACTTTTAAAAATGTTATTGTTAAAGATAATGATTACCTGTCCATGAGTGTCCCCTGGAGGTTTTCCAGGTTCAAACCGTACGGCTAAACCAAAAACCGGTCACAATCTGCCAAAATCGGCTAGCACTGCCGTCAAGTCGTTCTTCAGCAAGACATTTTTACTCTTGAAGTCCCTACGGAAAAGCCAAGAAGCATGTTTGGGAAGGGTTTATTACGGCACGTGTCTAACTCGCATTGCAACACGTTCTCAGTCCATAGGCTCAGCAGCCCGCAGTAAATCCGCTCCTTCCCTCCTTCCCTGGCGCAAATTCAGCTGCTCCTTGCTGCCTGTGTCCCTACAACACAAGCAAGCAGCCCTGGGCTGCCCGGCACAGAGTCAGCTGAAGTCCACAGTGAATTTACCTCAAAATAAAAGCAAGGAGTGATACGAAGGGGGTGTTTTAATTAGAGCAGGCCCTATAGGGCACCACTTCTTGCCCTGAGCATCAGCTGTGGACCCCCACCTCCGGGCACTGCGCAGATTTCTCACTCCCAGTAACAAATCCAAGACAGGTTAAGGAGGTGAATTTACTCTTTATCCTAGTAAGGATGTTTGCTCCTATCTACAAAATTAGATCTTTCTTGAAATCAGCAGTTGCCGGTGGGACTCTGTTCACCCTGACTACACACTTGAACAGACTTTTGCCACAGTCATCTATTACACTTATGTTTTAATTGCTGGACCGATCTTCCCTGGAGAATTTGGGGGGTTGGAAAGCAAGCAGGGGAGGGGGTGAGCCCACACTCAGAGGAGCTGTCGGGATGGGACCGGGCAGCTGACGGGCAGGTGTGAGCATCTGCAGTAGAGATGGAGGCTCTGGGCTTGAAGGTGGCTTTAAGGGGACATTTGTGCCAGTCCTCTGCCGCAGCGGGATTGTTTCAGGGCAGCTCAGGTAAATCTGCAGGGGCTGGAGAGGCGGGGTGGAGCGGGGTCAAGATGCCTAACCAGTCAAGCCCTGTTCCCTGGGCTTCCCGCATTTTCATCTGAAAAGGAATGTTTGGCAATATAATTAAATTACAGACCTTAGACAGCAGATGGCAATTGTCCTGTATGCTCAGCATTATAATTTCCCTATCATCAATTCACTCGGTGACCCTGCTGATTGCAGGACGTTGCAGGCCTGCACAAAATAATTAATGAGGGCAGATACAATTGTTCCGCACTAGAGAGACCTATCAAAATTCTTTGGGAAGAGAGAAACTGCTGGACCATAGAAAAGGGCTGCTCGCTGTGGCCTTGGATGCCAGAGCACCAGCTCAAAGCACCGCGAGCAAAAATCGTCCTGTACCACCCAGCCCCTGATTCTGAGCTTTACAAATCAGAAGAAAGGATTTTTTCTTTCTAAGCTAAACGCAGCGTAATGGGCATTTCTGGCTCGAGGATTAAGATGGGGGAAGCGGGTGTGAAGTTGGAGAGCATCACAGAGCCAGGGAACCCCAGCAGAAACCAGCCTCCATCACCTCACGGGGACACACGGGGTTTCTAGGGACGCAGTACAGTTTTGCAGAGCCTGCAAAACATTTGTAACCCTCTGTTACGCAGAAAAAAAACACCATTTACCTAATACCTGTCATCTTAGGGACTGACTGTTTCCATGCTATAGCAGTTTCCCCACAGGCTTAGAAAACAGCCATCACCTAATGACATAGATAAACTCCTCTGCTCGGTCAGCATTAGGGGATTATGCCCTCCAGGATGGTACAGATTGTGCACAAGATTTTTGCAAAACAGTAGCTCAACGAGGACCACACAGAAATTATTAGACAGTCTGCCTGAACGATACGTTTCCAAAGTGAAGCGAGATGTAAATCACTATCATTGTACGGGCATTTCCTGCTGTTGTTCACCCGCACTGCCCTTTGGGCATGCAACAGTTAACTACTACATCTTGATACGTGATGCGGGCATTTCCCTTTGCGCTTCCTTTTTTTCCCCGTATTTCCCCATTTTTCCGTGCTTTCCTTCCTTCCACAAACCACCTTGAACTGGCACGTGTGAGTTGCAATGCAAACACATCCAGGACAGGGAGAAAGACCTGATCCAAGCCATGCCAAGTAGAATTCTCACTAACACCGTACGCAATAGACCATCCTAAAATGGTCACTGATAAAGGAAAGCGGCCTGAAAAGAAGAAAACAATCTTTTTTCCGTGCAATGCTTCAAACCAGGGAATAAGAGAGCGAGCAGACTATGAACGACGGGGTGCATTAACTCAGTTCAGACACTGGAGATTTTATTTTCAGCTTCCACGTGGGGGCACTTTCGCACCAACAAGAGATCCCATAACCTTAATCCTCCTTGTAGCGCCCGGGGCCAGTAAGGATTTAGCTGAACCCCAGCCCAGCAGTGACTCGGGAACTTCCACCTGGCACCTCCAGCATCTTTGCACACATGGTGTTAAGCCATTCAAAAATACTCCCCCCTCCCAGATTTAAAATGTATTTGGGGTTTTCTTTTAAAACAAAACAAAAAAACTAAAAGAAGTGGGGTAATCCAAGGGAAATCCCCTGTGTCCTGAAATCCCTCTTCCGTAGGTATGTGCTAAATTCACACCAATGGTGCATTCTCCATCTTTTATCATTTGCTAAATGGATGGGGACACTAATGAGCACGATCTGTTGCTTTAAAGCCTTTCTATAGCCCTTCTCTGTTCCCCACCCTCAGGAATTTTCCTGTATAAACCACTGCCTTTATTCCACAGGGACAAATGTCAGGGACACAAGGGTCAGCTCCAGGAGCAGCACAAAGGCAGCTGCAGGCTCTTTCAACAGCCCCCAGCTCTCAGAAACCTTCAGGTTCGGAGAGGAGGGGTTGTTTTGGGGGCAGGGACACCCTTGCAAAAACAGGGATTATCTTGCCGTACATGAAGACAGCCCTGCTAGATCGGGTACAAATTGCTGCAGCTGGACGTGGGGTTTAAGTCCCTCCTAGATGAAATGCAGTGGGTGGCGGGGGAGTGCGGCTGTGGATTACAGCGTGTAGCCCGCGTAAATCCCTTCTGGAAAACTTCCCCCTCCCTCTGTGCCACTAGCAAACCACTCCGTAGCAATGCTTTAGTCCAGGGCAAGCAATGTGGGACTGCGGAGAAGGGCTAAACCAAGCATTGTTGCAAGAAGGATGGTTTCACCCACTGCTTTCTGGATTCCCACTGTCCCTGCGGTGCTGCCACCCGGGTGGGTTGATGCGTGTGCCAAGAGGTCTCAGAGGCACCGTGGTGCCCGCTCTGGTGTCTCTGCTCAGCACCCTGGCACAATTTGGGCACTATAAAACTACAGTGAAAAATGAATAGCAGCCATTTTCTGCATTTCTACAGTTTCTCCATTTCTTACCTAATGATCAAAAGCTCTGTGGGAAGACACACAGCGGAGTTATCGGTCTAAAACACTTAGGGAAAAATAGGGTCCAAATCTTGGTACGGCCATAGAAATACACGGATTATAATGTGATTTAGCAAGCACAGTGCTTTCAAAGACCGGTTCTGCAGCAACCAGATTTCCCTTCCCACTACATGTCAAGAGAAGAGTTGATGGAAGAGGGAAGCACCTACCCTCAGACATTTGCCATAAACCACTACCAACCATACTGACTGTTTCACAGACAAGACACTTAACTTGCCCTTTACCACTTCATGTGGCTGAAAAAAATTGTTGTCTTAGCATAGGATTTGTTGGGTTAAAAGGCATTTACTTCCTAAAAGCACGATCTCCTCCTCCATTCAACAGCATCATTTCAGAGGTTGTGAATGTTTGAACACAGCACTTGAATGGCGTCAACAAAACAGGCCTTACCTGTGTGCTATAGCAGGTTTGTGTCCTTCACCTTTGCACCAAGGGACATCTTCATGAAGGTAGGACAAGCCACGGGCCATTGTTTCTGCAACGTGGCAGAGCTCATTCCAGCTGATAATATTGCCCTTCAGGTAATCCGTCAGGGAGCCCTGCGAAACAGGACATCGTATGTTCTTAATTGCAGACCCTGCTATGTGACAGATGTGCCAACTCATCAGTTTAGAAAATGGTTTTAACGAGTGCTTGAGAAATTTGAACCTTGATTTAACAAGGGGAAAAAAACACTAGCGAAAGCAAAAAAAAAAAAATAAAAACCGGAAGCGTTCATGAGTCCTCAGCCCTTGACAGCACAGAAAGTGTCTGGATGTCTAAAAGGAATCTACTAATCTGCCAGGGAAGGGGAGGGAGGTAAGGAAGGGACAAAATCATCTCAAAACAGAGCAATTCATGTAACCTAAGAAAGGGGAAAGCCTTCCATATAGGAAGATGATGCGCCGTATCAGCTGGTTGTGGCAATGATTGACTCAGTAGACCTTGGATTAAACACAGGGATAACGCTGCTGGCTCAACCCCGGATTTGTGCATGTTTGTTTTATTTTAAGTGTTAGTCATGTTTGATAACTAAAGCAATCCACAAAATGGGAGATATGACCTGAGCTTCAAAAGCAAACATGGAGCCCATCTGCAAGGGGTGAGTTGGGACTGCAATGGTCTGCGACACCCAGCTCCTACACGCTCATCTACGCATGTTAAGAGATGGCGATCACCACATACGTTAGCTGTGGCCTTTTGTGCCTCTCTCTTTTCCCCCCAAGTCTCACCTTTATTAATCCTATGTTTGTGTAGGAAAGCCTAGAAAGCTAAAGGAAGGGCCTTTGAAGGAGGCAAGCAGGAGCACTTCTCCGCTACCACTGAGCCATGGCTCACCAGGGACAGACTGGATAGATTACAGGGGAGCTTCTGGGAGAACATTAGACACCAAATCCTGCTGCTTCACAACGAGCCGCCTCTCTGCCTTCCCCAAATGTATGTGCAATGATACGTTACCTTGTCGTGGAAAGCTGTGATCAGCCAGAGCTCTGTCTCTAGGTTTGTGCCTCTTTTCTCTGCTGCGATAAATTGCAAAAGGTTTTCATGCTTCATGCCAGGAGTATTGAAAATCTCCCTCTCGCTCTGCCAAGATTGCTTATCCTAAAGCAGGGAGAAATGCACCATCAAAGATCACGCTTCCCTTTAAAGCAAACAGCTCCTTCAGCTCAGTCAGAGCTGCTCACGTTCCTCTTAATATCCTCTGGCGTTCGGATGTGATGTATCCCTTCAAAATGAGGCTGTTTTCCTAAAGGGTAGATGCTGGAGAAAGACTGGAAGTTGCTGTTCTCAGTCTCCCTTCTCCAAAATTATTCTCAGCTATTCCTAAAGCACATGCGTGGGGAGGGGGGAGGAATCCAAACCCAACCTCACTGAGAAATAGAATTTCTCAAGATTCCCTAAGGACGCTTGCAAGAAAAATGCCTGTGCATACAGCACCTAGATCTGCATTGTAGCTGTAATTGTTACGATTGCAAAATCTAATCTAGGCTCTATTGAATATTTACTAGTAGGTCACAGCTGGCTTGGACAGAAGATGTGCAAATCTCCTTTAGCAATGCTATGACAACAAATACGGGGCAAAAAATTAACAAAGAAAGGGATAGCGGATGAGCACAAAGATGTTTCACTCATTCTTCTTTCATTTGACTTTTGATTACTTTTCTCTTTCCACCTGCAATTCCTAGAGAGTCAAGTCAGGAGTGTTCAAAGGTTTCCTAGACCAGAAGACGTGAGCTGACAGAAATGCTGCAGTGCAATTAGCTTTCACAGTGCCGGGGCTGCACCTTTGTAAGCCGTAAACTGTTTGCTAGGTTCGGGTCCGGATTTACAATCTACCCAGGCAGGACACACAAAGCCGGGGCTTTGGTCCTTTGCGTGCACTTCGGGCATCGCAGCTGCACACTGCCTCGCTGGACTTTTAACAACAAGGACATTTGCAGCGAAGTTAAAATACCCTGTAGATTTCAAAATGTGCTTGTTTTTGCCATTCTTGCAACAACCACTACTACAGGAAGCATTTGGTAATGAGATAACACAGCGAAAAGTGTAGGAAGGGAGGGTCCTTGAGCTTTTTCCCCCAGCAAAAGAGTCCAAATGCATCTTTGTTATGGTCTTAAAAACACCTCCATAGGCACTTAGAGCATCTCAGCACCGGTGAGGAAGCCTAGTGGGTGAGAACCTAATGCAATACCCTTCTCACCTGAATAGGGAAGATTTTCACTGCTACGTAGTCATTCATCAGCTGAGCCTTCCACACGCAGCCAAAGCGTCCCCTCGCCTTGATCTCCAAGAGCTGCAGAGGCTTTAGGCCAACCAGGGGAGAAGGGGGTGGCGGGCCAGGGTCCTGCACGAGAGAAAAACATCGTCACCAGCTGAAGCTGGACTGTAAAACAAAGGGAGGGGAGGAATGGAGAGACCGCATGTGGGGAAAGAGGCACAAACAAGTGACATTTTATTTAATACAAATTATTGAGATGTACTGTTTGCAGCAAGAGCAGCCTGAAATTCCCTATCTTGCTTTGTAGGGTAAATACCCTACATATGTATAGCACATATATAAAAATGTATGCCTCCAAGTGTCACTTTGTGTGTCGAACTATTGCCTGCCATCCTCTGGCAAAACCTGAATTCTCCTATGTTTTTAAAGCAAGAGCTATTTTGGGCTGTAAAACACCGATGACCTCAGGGCTACCTCCTGCCAAAAGTAGGAACTTTTTGATCTTTGTGACCCAACAGCCAACTACACCTAAAACCTCCCACCGCTTTGCACTTCATTAGGCGTGTTTCACATAACCCTAGCAATGGGCAGTAAACAGGTCTGTCAGCATCATAAAGATCGTATCTGTTTAAACTCTGCATTTGTCCAGAACAACGCAACCCTGCAGGACACGTGAGGTTGGAACTCTGTCCTATCTGCTTTCAGATGGGAAAGGTTCACAGTATGGACTGTAATGGGCAGAGGAGGGAGGGAGAGGCAGCTGCCAGGAAGTACCAGAAGGCTCAGGGCACAGCAGAGCCAGCAAGGACCAGTTCCTGATAGCTTTGGACCATGAGGATGACCTCCTCATGCATTCTCTGATGGCTCATAAAAACTGAGCTTCTACAGGGAAAGCATCTCCCCTCGCCCCATAAAGCTGGTAGGAACTTTATCATCCCTCTGATCTCTGCTCCTCTGCAAAGATGGCTGAAACCAGGCAACGCGTTTGAGAGTTTGCAGGGAAGGGAAGACTGTGTAACTCCATCCCTTAGGAATCTTGGGCATGGTGATAACCCCATCTAAACCCACCAGCATCACAGGGGATGTTAACACCACCATGGAGCCTAACTGTACCACTAACTTCAAAAACATAGAGAAGAAAAGTTAGACCACCTGAAAAGAGTGAAGCAAAAGTGCATGTGAACATATACTGAGCAGCCTCCCCGCCTTCTGTAAGGTCCAAATAAAGGGGAGCGACTCCCTCACCTCATTAATGTCGACGTGCCCGTAAGGAGGCTTGCGGTGACGGTACATCCAGAAGGCCAAGAGGATGGCCATGGAGAGGACAGCGATGGGGAGCAGCGAGTACACCAGGATGTTGAGCAGGGAGGGCGTTGGCGGCGGTGGCTCGTATATGACTGCGAAAACAGAGCAGGGTAAACGAGGGAAAGGACCCTTCAGGCATGCAACAGCACTGTCAGCTACACGTCCAGATGCAACCAAACCCCATCTTTCCTTCTACTCCAAAGTTGACAATGCTTAGTGGCATGTCCCATCACATCCAACAGTATTCATAAGGCTCCGCGGTTTACTCTTTTCCATATGGCTATTAGTAATGGAATTACGATGGTCCAAACCACACTTTGCAAGCCGTGCCTCTATCTGACCTTTATTTAAGATAGGTATGTCTTGGTGGGATACATAAAAGCAAAAAATTTCCTCCTCTTAACCCTTCCAAATGTATTAAGCGAGCACGAAATCCCTCGCAGCATTGCTTTGCCTTTTACAGTGATTGACAAGATGTCAGTTTTTAGTAAAATGCTGCCGGAGCCACAATCAAATGCACTATTCCCACAGTAGTTCTTGTTCCAAATTACATCAGTGCAGTTGAGACACAAACAATGGGAATACTAAATGGAGCCATGTTGCTATGTTGGAGACAGGGAAGGAAAAAATAGCAAGACTTGCCAAATTAAACAAAAAACTGTGAGAGAAAGAATATTTGCTACTAGGTTGCTACGGGTACATTAATAACAGGAGATAATAAAACCCATGTAAACAATTAAAAACCCAACAGGAAAGCCCAGGAAAATCTGATAATGGTCTACTGGAAGATCTCAGTAAATGCAGGTAGCTGATAGCAAAAGAAACCATCCTAAGGAAAAGATCCACCTGCTTTAATAATTTTATAGAATACTTTAGCAAGCCTACAGCTAAAAGAATCATCATTTTTCTATTAGCCTCTGAAGAAGAACCTGCTATTACTTTTCTTCTGTGAAGTATATCCACAAACTCTGGAAGCTGACACAAATACCCATTCCTTTTCAATCCCCAGACCAAGAAAAGACCAATCAAATGCAAAAATCCCTGATGCCCAAGCTATTTGGAGACCTAGGAAAATTAATGAAGAACGTGTCAAATGCCTTTAAAGAGTTTGAGTTGATCCGTATTGTATAAATCACACCACCCTCTTCCCCTTGTGTGGGATTTTGTTTTGTAAGAGCCCACTGTGAACATCCACCATAAAGAAAATCTAATCCTTACTGATGGTATACAAGGTGTTGGTACAACACACTTTACCCACAGAGTGAAGCAACATTAAAAAACTCTTCCTGAAGAATCCCAGCAGCAGGATTTCTGGACTTTGTAATCAAAATGGTGCTTCGTGTCCTCTTGGATGCATTTTTCTGCTCAACATCCAACAACTCAAAGTCATCACAAACTGGGTCTAGAGGAAGAGACCCCAACTCCCCGTCCACCCAGACACTCACCTTCTGGGCCGGTGACTTCAGGCAAATGGGTAAATTTCTCATTGCAATAGTTGCCCTCGCAGCAGCAGAAAAACACTTGAGGGTTTTCTTCTGTGGCTACGCACTCCTGCCTGCGTCAGGGAGGGACCAACATGGCAATGAAGGGAAGAGAAAGAACAGCGTCAGCCAACTCCTGCCTCTTGTCTTCGGGAGCCGACCTGCCCCAAACCGTCTTCTCCACGCGCGCGCTCCTGCTGCTGCGCTGCACAGATCGGCAGTCTCCACTTACAGAAAACAACTTGGCACTCAAATACCCCAGTGGATAGCAAAGATCCTTGAAAAGACCGTAAAGGAAACAAATGCTTCCATATGTACCAAAGGCATTAGATGGCGAGTAATAAATAACAGCCGCTGCCGCTAACTGAGTGAGAAGCAGAAAAACGATGGAGATGCCTCCTTCCCTGAACGGTGTCTTTCCCGCAGCCTGTATGTATGCTGTCAGGGGAGAGGAGTATTTGATCATGCAATTAAAGATTGTGCCATAAAGCACATATGACGAGGGCTGAGCTAAGACTGCCCTCACAGCCTTGAGCATCACTATACGTGCTACAGGGGCACCAGACACCAGCAGCAACAGTCCTGCTGCAGGCAGGAGGAAGGCTGCAGGTTTTGGTTTTGGGTTTTTTTTTTAAAGTTTAATTTTCAAGTGCCATCTCCTTCTTCTTTAAAAAACTTACTCCTGTACAAAAGCCTTTAAGAAAACCAGGTTGCAGCTCTCCTTTTTCTTATTCGCCTCTTATCCAGGTAGCGCTACAGCCTTCTCAGCACTGAGGTTTCCTTCCACACTGTGCAAGGCGTTAGGGGACTTCCACGGATCAGACCAATTCCACTTCCACACATCCTCCCTCTCCCACAGATCAATGCCAAAAGAGACATGCAGTGATTTTTGCAGTGCTCTAGCAGTCACTTCTTTCTCTTTCTTAAATGCCTGCTTCCCTTCCCTGCCACCTTTTGCTATGTTACCCTCTGCTTTTAGCTATTAGGGTTGCAGGGCTGCTCTCCACAGAGAACTGTATCAAACTATTTCCTGAAGCCCAGCTAAATTATATGCATAACTTCCTTCCTTCGACCACTCGGAGGAAGTAGCAGAACAATCGTATGTGTTTGACATTATTACTCATTTATGAACCCATGCCAAGCCTCCCTTTCTGTGGTATCACTGACACACTGCCACGAGAAGAATGGAAAGGGCTCTCTTCCATCATAACACAGGGCAGTTTTTGGTGCTTTATTCCTTTTGGGGAAAAAAAAGCAGCTATAGCCAAAATGTCTCCTGCAAGGTCTCAGCTGGGAAGCACTTGGTTTGTTCTTCAGACTTTTATTTTTTTAAACTTCAAAGAAAAAAAAGCAGCTATTTGACTTATTCAAATGAACAAAGATGTTTCAACAAGTTAAGCAATGTTTCCAGATGCTTTTTCGTGAAATCAGATAACAAGCCGTTTGGATTTAACAGCATCAGTATTGGAGTCTTCAACAGAAAACACATCCTTTGCTAAATCTGTTGGTTAAGAAATCAAGCTAATGAGTGAAAACAGCCTGCTCCACATCTGCAATTCATTATCCCTGTCTTTGAGTTGGTGTGCGCTCAGGGCAGCCATCCAGGTACATATGACATGTTATACTTAGCAAATATTACAAATGAGACAGTGGGAGAGAATGACACATTTTTCTATGGCAGCGAGGGCACGTTTCGTAGTGGTTCACGTGCTCTTCAAGGGAACATGAACATGACCTCTCCGGTGGGGCTGTGTAAATAAACGAAGAGCACACAAGTCGATTTTTAAACACTACCTTTTTCCTATAGCCTTAAATGTACATGTGCCACGTTCTTGTTTCCTTAAGATAAAGAACAGAGTAAGAAGCCATCACCATCAATGTCCCAACCCTTGCACTCCTGAATTTTTCACCTTCCAGCAACAAGGAGGCAGCGCTTGGCAGAGACCAGCACGTGCTGCCTGCGCTAGGAGAGGAGCTGCAGCCTGGCAGAACAGGACCGTGCCCTGCATCCAGGGGACACCTGCAGGTACAGGTACACGTGCATCTCCCGAGGCTGCACCCAGGAGCTCAGCATCCAAAGGCGCTGAAGACAGAGACAGAAAGGGCATCAGCGCAGCGCCGTCGATCGAAAAATCATCTTTTTAGCCATTTTTGCCATCTTGGGATGCAACATTCCCTGCGTGAAGGACTGCCGAGAGCACTCAAGGGAAGGGAGGGAAAAAAAAAGACTCCATTCAAACAGCCTTTATTTAATTAAAGCTAACCTTTATTTCAAATGTTGCTTTCAACACTTGTACTGTTTGTTAATCCTCAGAAGATCTTTTAGCTTTGCCCTGGAACTGCAGCTTTGAAGAATCAGGCTGCAGGATAATGGATGCTCAACCCTGGGGCTGCAAAAAGGCTTGTGAGGAGCCCTGGAAACTTTTTACTGTTGTAACAGAGCAACACATTATGACAAAGTTTAAGAACCACTACATCCCTGCACAGAGACACTCAGTGACAATACAAGTGTCACTGTATACGAGAGCAGGCACTGAAAGGAGAAATCTGTTTACAGTAAACACTTCTGCTTGGAAGTAGGAAGCTAGAGTGACCTTCTGTTCTCAGAAGGATCGGCATTAAGATGACTAATGGGCCAAGAAGGATTGATTTATCGGGAAAGAATAAAAATTTAACTATATATAGAGCTTGGCTACGCAACTGGCAAGGGAATAGGTGTGGTGGGAAAGTAACCCCAGCGCTAATAATAGAAGGAAGATGAGGAACAACTCACAGTCGGGATAAGCTAAGACAACGGGCACAAAAGCACGAATAGCGTCCAGTGCCAAAGGGAAAAAACTCTCCAGCCATGGGACAAATCTAGTCCCAGCTTAAACCCCATTGCTTAGGACCTGATGTCTTAAAACTTTTGGAATGAGAAGCTACAAAGATGAGCAGCTGGGAATTGCACAAAGGTGAGATCAACCTGCATTGGTGTTACATCAAGGGAAATCCTTGAATTTTATGTTCTGTTAATCTTTATTGAAAGGGATGGGTTTCGGTTGGTTGGCTGGTTGGTCATTGGGTTTTTTTAACAGAAACACTGAGTGAGTCCAGAGCTACCGAGTATTGTCCTTTTAAACCGTGAAACTTCAGAGAGCTATTTTCTTTAGCTGTAATTCTTTTCCCCTCTGTAGAATTGCATCAAGGGGAATGAGAAAAGACTAGTTTATTTTCTCAGCTACTTAATGAAGCTGGAGCCTTCGTACTAGAAAACCTCGCTCCTTTTCAGCTCGCTATAGGCAGTGACACACAAACACGCATATTGCTTTTGCTGCTCCACTCTTTCTCCTGGCCTGTCTCTTAACTCAGCTGAAGAACAGTGAAACTTTTTGCAATATCACAAATGCCAGAATATCTCAACCTCTAACCACCCCCAGCTATCTGTGCTTTTCTAGAGAGCTCCAAATGATTCCAAGTTTTCCTTTGTATCGCCAAATGCTCTTGGAAGAACATATTGCTCTTCATTTGATGGTACAGGACACGTTTTTCAACGCATGCCAGAATTATCAAAGCTTTGCTAAGGAAAAAAAAAACAAACACACAACAAAAAACCCTAAAAGTGCCTTTTGCAGCTTCTATTTAGAAAGTCAAGGCAGATAAGTGACAATTCTGAGAGCTGCATTAGCAACAGAAGTAATTACAGGGGATGAATGGGCCAATTGACTTGGACTTGCTTTCTTTTCCTCGATACAAAAATCATGAGCCTTTGCACTTAGAGGAACATTTAAACCTGTATTCAGAAAAACCAGTTAGGCTATTACCTGTCATAACAGTTGAAGTCATCTAACCAGCAGCCCTTCTTCACCAGCTCGATGGATCCTGAGTTGTTTCTCCAGGAGGCATAGCAGTGGAGCCGCTTGTCCTTCTCCCCCTCGCAGCGCTCCACGCCACTCTGGTTGGTCTTCTCCAACTCCCAGTTGGCATTGTAGTAAATGCATTCCCTTGTCTCAGCCTCCCCACGGCCTGGTCCTGAAGGAAAATTCAAACCCCAAGTACGTTTAAGCAAAATCAGAAACAGATCCCGGGAGATGCATCTCCACGCGGCTTTGCTTTAGGTGATGCGTACATTTGCCTCCCTGGGAGCCAAGCAGCTCATCGATGTGAGCTTCAGCATGGTGTGGAGGGTTATTCTCCTTTGCTGGTGTGAGGTGAGGAACAGAGAGATTAGGTTTGCCTAGGCTCATGACCGGAGCGCATGGTGAAGTCAAGAGCCCAGCTGAGACCCCCCTAGGTCTCCTCTGGCCAGTGCTTCAACCACAGGACCCTAACAGAGAAATGTACTTGGCAACCCATACCCAGTATTTTCTAACTACAGAAACCCTGTTTAGGAAAGACAGCCTCCCAGGGTGCTACTTGCCGCTTGCTGGGATGTCACACAATGGAGTTACCCTCCCTCTCCACCACTATTTTGGGAAACACCAGCTAAAACCAAATGGTTTCTTACGTGGGTAGGATGTAACTGAGAATAGATAACATTCATCCTACAGAGGAGGGCCAGACCAGTGCCTATTCCTCACTTAGACCCCAGTTCAGGCTTATTTGGATAAGTCTCCATATGATAAATGCCACGGTTTTAGCTGTGGTTGACAGCTCACGCTGCCTCTCCACCCAAGCAAGACCTTCAGCAAAAACCAACTCTGTTCCCCAAACAACTCTGACCACCCCAAATGGCGTTTGGCCACCCCAAACAAAGGAGTCTTCGTAGCCTGTGGGTATTTCCCCCTTTAGAGCCCTGTACTAAAGGACTGAGGAGTTCCTACTGCCCCAAGTGAAACAATTTCCCCATAGCCACCATGGCACAGAACTGAAAAACGATTACAGACGCATCCATTAAAAACTGGAGTCAAGTAAGAGAACACTGATATCTGCAGGTGACCTGTATTGTCCTAAGCCTTAGAAATCCTCTCTTCGTTTGAAAATATTCTGCTTTATGGCGTTCTGAAGATTAGTTTAAAATGAGAAAAATTAAACAAACACACAACGTGTAAGCAGACAACCATAAAAGGTACCACAAAGCTCATGATTCTGTAAATCCTGAGATGCCCTGCAGCCATCTCTCTTTGGGATTACCCAACCTCAGGCAAGGTCAGACCTGGCCATTATTTTGATGGATTGCAATCATGGAAAACATAGGTATCCCAATAAAATGTGTTGACAACTGGACAGAAAACAGAAATGGGTCCCGCAGGATGGTGAAATGAAAGTGCTGCGCTCCCAGAATAGCCAGACCTTTGCAAAGCGCAGAAATAAGTTTCTGGCTGGAAAATTTTGCAGTGCTTTCATGACTCTATCTTCTCCAAAGGCCGTGCAACCTTTAATGTTGAGATTAATGCAGTCAGGGCCACATCTGGATGATCTAAATGCAACCCAGCCTGTGACTCCCACTCAACAATGCAAAACAGCCACTTCTGAAAGGTCTCTACAAGGTGATCCAATTCAGTTCTTAGAAGACACTGAGCAGTGAGTAGCTTACAGCTGGCAGAGAAAACACCCAGCCTGGGCACAGGCACCAGCTCCAGGCCCTGGACACCTCTGTAGCTTCACTGTTTCCTTACCTTAACACCCATCCACTACCGATGTAAGTACCCTCACAACACCCAGTCGGAGAAGGGAGTATTACTCCCAACTGAAGATCCAACACGCCAAGATTAAATGACTTGTCCCAAGTGAACAGGATGCTGGGGGGGAGCCTGACTTGCCTTTCCACAGCCTGCAACTCCTCTCAAGTTGCCAAGTCTCCAAGCTGTTACCTGGTGGCAGGATTCACCTCCAATTTTACAGTGCATGGAGAGCCCTTTAGAGATGGTGCTTGAGCTAGAGATTGCATTCAAGCTATTGAATGTAGCCTGATCTGCTGTAGGGAATCGACCTTCTGCCGCCAACAGTCATCAAGCAAGGAGTGCAGCTGACCTGGCACAGAGCAGAAGTGGAACTGCAAGAAGGTTACAGGAGAAACCATAGTTTCTGCACAAGCTAGGTGTCATGCATCCAACCTGCTCCTGCTACCAACACCTGGACTCAACGGTAATTTTCATGGTATGGAGCAAACTCATCAGACTAGGAAGATCTCTTTGCAAGTTGAAGAGGTGTTCAATCCTTCAATAACTCTTTTTTTGGGAAGAATGTTTAATCTACATCGTGGGAGAGACTGCAAGGGAGGAGGGGTATGAGAAAGTCATAAAGCTGACTTCTGAAACTGGAAATTATATTCAAAGCACACACGAACAAGAGCTCAATTTCAACAGCACCTGCAGATTTTATCGGCACTTGCAAAGCTCCATCTGAGTTTTCCTCTGACAAGTTGCTTACTATAATAAAAACAACCTACCAATATCCCTCAACACAGAACAGTGTCAATATTGACACTCCTTGTTAAAGCCTTGATATTTGTTCTCTTGATACTTACACCACGCTTTCTTAGGGCAGATTAAGCATTTTTGCTAAATACTGGTTCAATCAGCAGGAAAGCGAAGGAGTATTGTCTTGTGTGCAGGGACGGTGATATCTTTTTATTTATAAAGGAAAAATTAAGTATCTTAGCTTCATTGTAATGCTACACATGGTTTCCAGCTGATATCTGATAGCTAATACTCACTATCACCTTCTGGTCCAGTCCTTGAAATGCATTTTGTAATATCATTTCCATCATCCCAACCTGAATCCCTAGATGGAAATTTCCTCTCCCTCCCCAACCCCAGCTCCCATAAAGTTGGAAGGTTTAATGAACCATTTGCCTGGGAAACAGCCCCAAAATCTAATCCTGGCTCAGCCACCTATGTCTGTAACCTCGAGCAATATTGTGTAGCCTCTGTTTTCTCCACCCGCAACGAGGGCCAATGCAATGCACAAAGCTGCGGTGAGATTTGACGTTTCCACTGTGCTTTGAAAAGGGAATGTTAAAAAGATGTGAAGCAGGAGCTGTATCGGCTCTGGGACCAGCAAACCGAGTCTGCTAAATCCTGTGCTGAGCCCAGGCTCCCTTCCCCCAAGACAGTTGTCTTTTCTGGAACAAGTTTCAGCTGAAGACTAAGATCTGCTTGCAAACACGCAAACCCAACTCAGCAAACAGCAACTGCGCCAGGAAAAAGGCCTTTCGCAGTTTTTCCCCCGCTGTCAAAAGTTTAGATGAATTGAATAAAAGCATGTATAAAGTTTTGGAGGACTAAATACATGCATGTTTTCTGCAAAACAGCTCCTAAGGATGCTTGCATTAAGGAGACGTTTTAAAAACCTGTATGTTTGCTACCTGCTTTCAGATCTTTTTAAAAAGCCGTTTGGTAAGGATCCTCATCCTGCTGGGTGCTCAGGACTGCAAGAAACCCTTTTGTTTGTGCCCAAGATGGTCTCAG